AATATACATAAAAAAAAAAAAAAAAAAAAAATACAAAATAGAAAAAAGAAAAAAAAAATAGGAAAAAGAAACTTCTAAATAATACCGAATCAACACCTTCTTGGTCTTGCCTTGAGCTGTGCTCAATTATAGACGAGAAATTATAAAGAAAAGTCCTTCCGTAACTACCCATAGTCAATCTTATATGTAATTTATGATAATGGAAAGCTTAGGTAAAATTAATTTTACTGTGCTGCACAATGTGATCATCATTTTCTTCTAATATCGTGACCGTTTCCTTAAAAAAAAAATTAATAGCTATCCAAAACACACGAGAGGTCCCCGATTATTACGATTCGTCGGCACATCACTCAATTTATGTCGCATCTCCAACTCAATCTAATATGAATTATTACCAGTTTAATAAGGGTGACCTGCTTTCTGTTATCGCTTCTCCGCATCCTAATACTACTATAACATCTACTCCATCAACGCCTTCAACCCCTGCAACACCCTCTATTGTCTCTTTCCATAATTTCCCCTTTATCTCCGGCATATCTCAAACTTCAAGCTTATCCAATCGTCCAAGAACTCTAAAATTTTTTCCAAAACATGGTTATGTCGGTACTCGCCTTACTGTAGAAGTATACCTTGAATTACCAAATCCTAATAATGTCATCCTTAATCTGGCTTTTGGTGATTTAATGGTCGAAACTCATCAAGTAGCTTTACCTGATTCTCGTTATGAACTTGTTGGTATCGTGCCTAGTCAAGATTACATTAAAAGTGCTAATAGGTCTAAAGTTCCTGTAAATATGATCATCTGTAATGAATATAATATTCCTATTGATAAATGGCACCTTGGCGATTTTGTCTTTAAAGGTATGTTTGATTTACTCGTCCTTTCCTAATTTATTTTAAAATTTTATTGTCTACCTTTTAATTTGTCCTTATTTATTATTTACCTTATTACTATATCGTCATATTTACTCTTATCTTATTTTTATTACTTTTTTTTTTATATATTTTATTTTCTTTTATTTTATTGCCACTTAGACAAAATTTCTCCGCACAAATGTCTAATTAAATCCGTAATTGACTTTGATATTGATGACTCAACTAAATGTATATTATACTTATATATCTTTATATTTTATATATTTTATATATTTTATATATTTTATATATCTTATATATTTTATATATTTTATATATCTTATATATTTATATATCTTATATATTTTTATATATTTTATATATTTTATATAGATTATATATCTTATATATCTTATATAGATTATATAGATTATATATCTTATATATCTTATATAGATTATAGGTTATATAGATTTATAGATGTTATGTATATTTATTTATTTACGTAACCTTTTAATTTAAATTATATATTAGCAAATCGTCGTCATTCGTCTCAAGGATGTTTATACCACCCTTATGCTATCTCTAACGGTGTGGAGCAAGCTTCCCCAACAACTTCTACCACTCCTCCTCTTAAAAATGAGATGCTGTATATAAATGAAAACAATTCTAATGGTAATTATTTCATATTTTATCTTGTAAATTTTTTTTATATATAATTTTATATTTTTTTAATAATCCCATATTATTCTTTTTAATTGGTAGCTTATGCCACTCAACAAAATGTTTATACTTTTTATTCTTATGATAACCATGATAACCTTGACCCTGTCGCTGAACAACCGAAACCAACTTTAAACGTTTCGGAACAATCACAACCGACTTTTGATTTACAGGATTATCGTGAGGGTAAACTACCATTTCATATATTTTTTTTTTTATGAATTAATTTCATGATATACATGATCAAAATGTTTCGGATTTTTTTTAATTATAGTTGAAATGACGAGTAATGAATCTCAATCTGACGAACAAAGTGACCCTTCTTCATTTTATTCGTCTTCCGCTTCGACTCCTTACTCTACCTCGTCTGATGATTCTTTTAACGGTATGTTAATTATTTAACCCTAAAATGTTTTATAATATTTATGATCTTCATGATATTCATGATATTCGAATTTTAATTTTATTTTAGATTCGATTTGCAATAGAGAGGCTTCTCTAGAACCCTCTAATCTAATCTATGCTCAGGAAACGTCGTCTAATGACACCCAGATTGTTCCTATTTCTCCTTCCAATTATAGTGATTCCAGTACCACGGATGATTTACCTACTCCGGCCACTGTAAAATCTATGAATTATCAAATAGCTTCAAGTATTTCAAGTATTTCAAGTATTTCTCCTGGTTTTTGCCCTTATTTCCCTCCGTCAATGTATCCATATCTTGGTTATCCCGTTATCCCGTCAATTACTTTAAAGGAAAGTCCAATGGTTCCATCTTCTGATAGACCTCCTCGTCCAAAAAATCGTAATTCCTCGGATTCCGATTGTAAAACTCAACTTTATGAACTTTTAAATAAAGTTAAACTTGTAATTGATGGTGATATTCAATCAATGGCTCAAAATTGGTCCGTAAAAGATTTTAAAACTCGAAGAAGATTAATACAATTCATGAGACGTGTTGAAGGTGATGAAATTAGAGTTACTTTTAAACCTGTTAAACCTGATAAACGACCAAAATATGGAATTTTCGTTTCTTGTATTTGGTGGGAAGCAAAAGATGATTATTATATTACTTCGGTAGATTGTATTTATTTATTAGAATGTTTGACTGGAATTAGATTAACTCAAGATGAAAAAAATAGAATTCGTAGAAATTTGGAAATTTTTAAACCTTTAACTGTGGGAAAAAATAAGAAAGATAGTGAAGATTTATTTAGAGTAATCATGGGTTTCCCGGCTCCAAAACCTAGAAATATTGAAAAAGATGTTAAGGTCTTTCCTTGGAATTGTGTTATATACGCGATTAATAAGATTTTACGCAAGTATATGAACCGTGGTACTTAGGAATCTTTTTTTTTTTAAAGTTGGGTTTATAGAATCTAAAAAAAATCCATGATTTTTTTTTTTTTATGTTCAAAAAAAAAAAAATATTATGTAAGAATCTTATTTTTCCTTTTTTTTTTTTATATATTCAAGTTTCAAATTTAAGTTTAAACTTGATTTGGTTCAGAATTAAATTTTTGAAAATTTTCAATATTTTTGTATGACAAAAAAAATAAAATCTTTTTAATAAAAATGTTTAATTCGTTTCAAGCTTTTTTAACTTTAATGTATCGATATACTAATACGTACAGTATTACGTATCAGTATTGATTTATTTTGTAATATGGCGGGTAAAGTTAATACGGGTCTATCAAATAGAGTCTAATAATTCTTTTTACTATTCATTTTGTCCCGCTAAGATGAATCGAAGGATATAAAAAATTATTCGTTTCTAATCACTGGATTACGTATTAAATAATCATAAAAATGATTTTTTTGCTAATAGATACTCCCAATCGATAAAATTATTTAACATTAATAAATGTTATGCAAACTTAAGTTCTTTCTGTATACAGTTTAATCTCTATATAGTTACCTCCTATAGTCACAAAATTCAGTATAATCACATCCGTAAATTTACTGTTACTATTACAATTTCTTATTAGTTACTTATATAAAACTATATATAGTCATATTATTGTTACCGTATTTTCGCGTAATAACGCCTGGTGGACGTTATTCAGAAAATTGCGCTCCCTGAAAATGGTATGCATAGTTTCAAAACAACGCTCATGCGCGTCCCAGAATAACGCGTACCCATATAAAAATCTGCTTCGCCACTCAGTGCCAGTTAAGAATTAGATATATAATAATGGTGTTACGATAAAGAAATAATCAAAGCATTTCAAATACTCCAATTGACAAATAACTATTATATTTACCATCTAAATATAGGCTTGGGTAAGAAGAGATTTAAAGAAGTGATATATCAATTAGCATGGGTTACTTTGAAGATCAGGTTTAGGAAAATTTACCGTTGTCTCAAAATAACACCTATACGCGTACTCTAAATTAAGGGTGAACGTAAATCATTTTTAATAGTAATCACATTGCAAATCATATGATATCATATGATTTACATTGATTTGACCAATCAGAATTGTAAACAATCGAAATCCGACCAATAAGAATTAGTAATTTTTGTGTTACCTAGGCAAATTTCAATCGACCTAGGAGAATTTAACGATATATGAAGGTGGATTTTTTTTAAATGATATAAGTGTTAAAACTTTTATTATCATAAAGTAAAGGTTTTAATCTATATATTATGAAGTTTTGGTAAAGTTTAGTTGTTGCCTTAAAAATTTTTACTAATAGCATATACTCAATTTTTGTATAAAAAATTTTTAGCATGTGAGATCATATGACAAATGATCTACATTCACTCTACCCTTAAGGATAGGAATCATAAAGTCATTAATCGATTAATCGACTATTAGTCAACTAATCGACTAAATTTCATTGTAGTCAGTCGATCGATTAGTCGATTAGTTGACTAGTCGACTAATCGACTAATCAACTAATCAACTAATCAACTAATCAACTAATCGACTAATCGACTAGTCAACTAGTCAACTAGTCAACTAGTCGACTAATCGGATAATCGAATAATAAACTATATCAATATAGTTAACTAAATCAAATATTAATAGGCAAATTTAATTGGTTAACTATTGTTTATATAACAGCTAACTAACCAATTAGTCGATTATTCAACTAGTCGATTATTCAACTAGTCGATTAGTCAATTAGATTAGTCGACTAATTGAATAATCAACTAATCAAATAATCGAATAATTGACTAGTCAATTAGTCGACTATTCGATTAGTCGACTAATTGAATAATCGAATAATCGACTACTCAAATAATTGATTAGTTAATTTTTAGTCAGTCGACGACTAACAGATTTAGGCTGTTCTCAAGCATCTAAATCAATTGATTAATGAATGATCGTGATGATGCTCAAGCATCACAATCAATAGCGATATTTATAGAATTAAATGCTTGAGCATACTCTTTTTCTATTTTTCATGATTTTTGTTATGCCGCCTAAAATGTCTAAAAAATCTAACAAAAAAAATTCTGTTCAACTGACTGCTGAAGCTTCAGTTTCGGTTACGTCAGCTTCACCCTTTAATGATTTTACCAATATTAACTTTTTGTTGCAACAGCAACAACTTATGGAATCATTAGCGAAAGTTGCTTTGCAGCAAAAAGAAGTAAAAAAAATTTTTTTTTTTTTGAACATTAATAATATTATGGTATTAAATATATATATTAATATATATTTAATATGTATTTAAAATTTTTTTAGGCTATCTATAGTAATTCAGCTAGTACTTCTGTTGAACAAACATCTCTTGCCACTACTAATTCTGACATACCAATTAGTACTAATAAAGTATCGAATCGGTGGATATCATCTGAAGTTCGAACACTTATTGAGGAGGTTGAAAAACATCAACAACTCTTACAAAAGTAAAAGATCCATAAGAAAAGGAAAGAATTTGGGATACAATCATTTCAAATATACAATTGTCCAGTATTGCTAGTTTGGTTTTAAAAGAACGCTCTAAAGCGTCGATTTAGCAAAAGTGGAATGCACTTTATCAAAAATATCAGGATATTAAAGATTCTATAACACATACTGGAGAAGAACCTTTACAAAATGAATGAGAATTTTTTTATGATACATATTGACAAATATTTTAAATCTGATCCAAGTGTTGAAGCACCCATTATAAGCGATTCTATTCAGGGTATTAAACGTAAAGTACAAGAAAGTGAGGAGCTAAACGAGGATGAGCAAGTAATATTATTTTATTTTATAATTCAGATTATAATATACTGTATATTTAAAATATTATTATATTATATTTTATATATTATAGATTACTACAAGAAAACAAAAAGTAAACAGATTGGTGAAAAAGAAAATATTATTGAAGAGTTTCAAACTCTCATTAAAGATCAAACTACAGCTATTATCAAAGCAATTGATCATCAACATACTTGTATTATAGAAATTCAACAGAAACAACATGACGAACAGATAAAAATTTTTAAGCAGTTTTTTTTAAAGTTTTAAATATTTACAAGATAGTTTGCTAGATACTCTCATTTATGAATACTAGCCATTCTTTCTTCTTCTATAACTGTTTTATCTTCTATATCATTTTCATTTTCTATTTTATTGTTTATTTGAATATCATCTAAAGATAGTAAATCACCATTATCAATACAATAATTATGTAAAATACAACATGCGTAGATTATTCTAACTACTTATTCTATATCTGTACAATAAATTTCATTTAATAAAATTCTCCATCGTCCTTTTAAAACTCCAAATGCTCGTTTAACAATTATTCGCATTGATAAAAGAGTTTTATTAAAATGTTATTCTCGATAACTTAATAAATCGTAAATTGGAAATGCCTTCATTAAATATGTACGTAAAGGATACGCTGAATCAGCGATAATATAAATATCTTCTGGAACCCATTGTTTCAGATGAAGCATAATTTCATGATAAAGAATAGAATGGCTAAATACACAAGAATCGTGTATACTTCCTTTTTTATTTATTTTTTTTTTTTAAATAAAATTTATATGAAATATACAATAATAATAATTATAATATTAATTAAATTATTTAAACCTGCTTCACCAATATGAATAAAAGTAAATCGCCTCTGGTGATCAACGACTCCAAGAAGATTGATCAAATAAAATTTTTGCGATTTATATATCGAGATTTATTTTTGGCAGGGGTAAATAGAAATATGTGAGCTGTCCATAGCACTGATTACATTTGGTAAGTTTTGATTTTCTAATCCTATTTCTTTACACTCAAATCCTCTAATTATAGTCACTAATCTTGCTCCCTGTGATCATACAACTCTGCCTGATTCCAAATCTAATAATGCCTTTAAAAATCAATCCGTAAAATAGCTAATCGACCCTTGACTTACACTTAAAGTTTGTTCTAATGTTCTTATTCCTGCCCCATTTGCCAAACGCCATAATACAATAGCAATTTGTTTCTACACGAAGGTCACATTAGGTGCAGTTGTACTAAAAGCAGGATATGTTTCTAATCGTAAAACAATTGCATTAAAAGTAGCACAGATAATATAAAAATATTTTCAAAAGGAATTATAACCTTTGTTATCAGTTAGATATGGGAAAACATCTATCCAAAACTCTTTAATTTTGGGCCTTCTTTGCTGAGAAGCTCTTAAGTTTATATGAGCAAAAAATAGAATAGCAGTATTCATTACGGTTTGGTTAAATATTAAAAGATAGATTGTATTAATTACGTTCATATTAAGGTGTCGATTATTTCTTTTAAAAGCTTTGAGCATTAAAAATAAAGTGGCTATTTTTTTAGTCCGGTTAGAAATTTGTTGTAAATTTTGTTATGAATTCATTGTTTATTATTTTTGATATGTTAAAATGTAAAAGTAGTGCTTGAGCGATCTTTATTAATAGTAAATTTTTAGAGAAAAAAGGTAGTTTGTATCTCGTTAATTTGTTGATCGAATTGGTAACTCACTTGATTGATATATTTAATTTCTGACTAATTATTAAGTGAGATACTTGAGAACGGCCTTAGTCGACTGACTAATTGACTAAAAATTTTTGACCAATTCCAATTTTTACTCTAAATAATGTATATATACTCAAAATAACACACAGATAAGCATTATTACTAGCATTCGAAATTAGTGTTCACAGAGTTCTCATGAGAACACCATTATGAATTTGTGCACAGTACAAATTTTTTAATATTCTCTATTAAAAATTTTTTGTGAACAGTAAAATCATAAGAGTGTTCTTATCTATAATATAAGAATTGAACCGCCTGAAATTTTCTAATCGATTAACCATTTAACTATACTAATAACTGGTATTAAGTTTGCTCATTACTAATATAATTCATGTTTGAATTATTAAA